ATGATATTATTTTGATGTGGGCTTGTTTTTAAGGAATAGAAGTAGTAATGAGGAGGTGTATTAGTTTTGAGCCCATTAAAGAATAAAGAGAATAATAGGTTATTTTATTATTGTTAGAAAGAATAGAAAAGAAGAAGCATTAAGAGGAATAAGGGTTAGAGGAAGAACGTGAAAGCTGTTGGAAAAAGAGGAAAGAGGCATAACGTAATCAATTGGAGAAAGTTATAGAGCAACTTTCAATCCAAGGTAAGGGTGGGTTTCTAACTCTATAATTGGGTTCATGATAATTGGTATGTGGGGTTAGATGTGAAAGTGTTGTTTTGTTCATGATTGAATTATATGTTGTTATATGATGAGAATTGATGATTGAAAGATGAATGATGATGTCCTGATACTGTTTATTTGATATGGAATTATAGGATAATCAGTAGAGATGATTTTCTATGATTAAGATATGTTTTTAGGGCTTAAAGTATGGAACCCGTAGTGAAAACACAGAGAAGATCGCAGAAATTACCCATGACAGAGCAGTATGCGTCGACCCCAAATGGCATGTGTCGATGCAAGCAGGTCTTTAGACTCAAGATGAGTCGACACGAAGGAGTCTTGCATCGATACATGAGGAATTTTAGACTCAAGATGAGTCGATACGTAGGAGCACGTGTCAATTCATGCTGTGTGGTAGACTCACTATGAGTATATATAAGAGAGGATGCATCGACTCATGTTGTGAGTTCAGTTCAGTACGCATCGATCCAAGACGTTATGCGTCGATCCATGTTGTCTGGTTTTTGGCAGAATCAGTTTGAGAATGTTGTAACTTGAGTTTTCGGACTCCGTTTGAGGTGTCGTTCGAAGCGTTGAATGGCTAACACAATGAACTTCATTCTTAAGGATTAAACTGAATAATAGGAAGTATAATCCTAGTATTCAAAATAGGATTAGAGTTAGTTACCGCGGTAATCACTATGTTGGTTTTTGTGAAGAAGGATGAGGATGAGACGTTTATAGAGTACTGTTTGGTTTGTAACAGTAGGATTAATGATAATAATGAGGTAATATTACAGAATAGTAGTATGTAGAGATTTGGTGATTTAGAAGTAGGCCTTAGTTGATTAACTAATTATAGGCAATATCTTGTATAGGCCTATGGCCAACGTTGTGAAATTGACGAGTTACTGACGTATCACTGTACTGCTAAGTTGTTGATGAGATGATGTTAATGAGAGTTTGTTTTAATGAATTATGATGTATAAATGATGTTTGATGATTTATGATGATAAATGATGTCGATGAATGATGTTGATGAAGAGATGTTGAGATGCTTTTAAGATGTAGGCCTTTGGCCAATGATGGTGTTGTATTGAGATGTTGTCAATTATGGTGTTGTTATTACATTCATGATTGTGTCGCATACATTGCATTTTGAGATGGAGCTTATGCTCGTTGAGATGACATGTATTGGTGAATATTGAGATGAAGGCTTATGCCTTGTTGATGCCTCTATTAATTGGAAATTTTTGAGATGGGAGTTCTGCTCCAATGGTACTACATGCATTTGCATAGTATTGAGTCGCATTATATGATTGCATAAAGAAGTGTGTATTGATGTTGTGAATGTGTATTATCGTTGTGATTATTGTTGGTTATGAGATGAGAAGTGGTGATGTTATGTGATCTAATTTAATATATTAATTATCATGCGCTTTATTATATTGTTAGATGTCTCACCCCTTCTGTTTGAATGTTGCCCTTACGTTGGTAACATGAAGGTAATCAAGAGTGGAGGCTGTATACCTTCAATAGTTCGAGTCGGTGTCATTTCTCTGATATGTAACACTCGTGGGGATGGACGCTTGTTGCTTTTGATTGTTGATTATTCAGTTTTTGAACTTTAAATTGATTATTATTAAGTATGTGTTGTTTTGAGGTTGCTGTAACAATGATAAAGATATTATTAAGAATTCCACTGCGTAGACGTTAAACTTGTTGAATTGTTTAATTAAAGTATTATGCTGACGGTTCATCCGAAGTTTTAAAGTGTTATATATCCACGACGTATGCAATGAGTTAAGAATGATGAATTTGTGGCATCCTGATTCATTTTGCGTGAATGATTTTATAACTCTGATTTATTTATATAATTGTCGGGTAGAATTGGGGTGTTACATAATCAAATTGATGAGTAAGAGATCTTAATACCTTCTTAATGATTACTTGTTCAGAAAGAGTTTCTCCATATGATTTTATCTCTTTTATGATCATAATCACTCTAAAGATATAATTTGGTACTTTCTCATTGTTCTTCATATCGAGATTATCATACTTCTAACATAAAGATTGAAACTTCACCTTCTTCATTGATGCATCACTGTTATAGCACCGTGTCAGTATATCCCACGCAGCCTTCACTGTTGTTGAATAAACGATTTTCTCAAACACATTCACATCCACACAATGATGGGTGTAGAAAAATACTTTCCGGTTTTGAGTTCTCGTATCTCTTTCTGTGTGTCTCTGTTCTTCGGTCGCATCTGCTACAACCAGAATGTAACCGTCCGTGACGAGATCAAGAACGTCTTGAGTACCGAACAACTTACGTTTTTGAATCATCCACTGATTCTAATCCTTCTCATCAAACACTGAAAGCTTTGTATTCAAACTTTTTCTGCCGTTCATCTTCGTTCTTGTGCACTGAAACTAACTTAGATTTCATATCTTACCAAAGAAACATGTTTCTCGATCCCACAAAATCAAGAAATACAATTCTGTTATGATTTCGATAGTAAATTCAACGCAAATCCAAGAAAAATGAAATTAATTACACACACCTCATGTACACTCGTGTTTCTCTGCGAATCGAGACAGAGCTCTAGATAATAATTTTTGGAGCACAAAGTTGAATATGAAGATGAAGATGGAAGAAGAGAGGGAGAGAAAGAGAAGAGAGAGAAAACAATTGTAATAAACTTATGGAGAAAGAGAAACTATATTCACTACTTACTTGTAAAAGTAGTTAAACTATGTTATTTAAATACAGTAAAATTAAAATGACACGTAAGTAAAGTATGCTACACAGGCACTGTTAAAACAAGCTAACAAAACAAAGTTAAAGCCGAGAAGCTAAGCAACACAACTTATGGATCAAAAACCTCAGAAGTTTCTGCTTCTGAGTCAGAATAATACTTCTTAATAATAATTACTTCTAACATTAATAATATTTCATAAGGTAAAACGAGAGAATGAAAAAACATACGCACACACACACACACATACACACATACAAACATAAACACTTACAGACACACACTTACACACACAGAGATGAATAAAAATTAGAGAAAGGTTAGTGGCATTTTATCTATTTTTAATTTATAAAATAACGATAACATTCAGTGAGGGATAACCCCTCACAACGCATAAACGTAAAAAATTATGAAGGGTAACTCCTACAATACATTATGTCTCCTCAATGTCTGACTACCACTCTGACTCTTGAACTGACCAAGTCCCTTTCTAAGAAAAATTTAATGTGTCATTAAAGTGTGCTAACGGATACCGCTCATAATCTATAAATTCAAAATACAAGTATTTTAAAAACGTGGGGTTACCCCATGCAATACAAAGTTGAAATATATTTAAAAGAAGTTACCCTTCACAAAACCATTTTTAATTTTTTCTTAAGATTTTGTGTTGCGAGGAGTTTACCATTAACTACATAATTTTTTTTGCAAGGAGTTTTACCCTTGGAAGGGATGGAGCTAAAAATTTTAAATTGTGGGAACAACATATTAAATTATAAATTTTAGCGTAATATCTATATTATTTTTATTTCAATATTATATATATATATAAATCATAAGTATTCATATTTATATACTTCTTGATAAAAATAATTAATTTTTTAGTTTATCTATTTAATTTTTTTTGAATTTTTTCTATCCCTTTAGTTTTTCTAGAAGTATATATTATATATATACTTCTGCTTTGAATTTATCTATCTAGAAGTATATAAATATGAATACTTATGGTTTATATATATATATATATATATATATATATATATATATATATATATATATATATATATATATATATATATATATATATATATATATATATATATATATATATATATATATATATATATATATATATATTCTAGACCTATAAATTCAAAACACAAATATTTATGTATATATACTTCTAGAAAAACTAAATGGACAGAAAAAATTTTTAAAAAAAATTAAATAGAAAAACTAAAAAAATTAATTATTTTTATATAAGATCCAAAAAGTAAAAAAAAACAAAATAGAAGAATAAAAGTATAAAAGTCTATCTTACGTTTTCATCCAATCAAATATTATTAATATGTCAGCTCATACGTAATCAAATTCACCGTTGCTTTTACAAGAGACACTATATATATCATCACTCACATTCCTTCCTAACAAACTCAATCCTTCCTAGCAAACTCAACAAAAATAACAGTTTTCTTTCTCACCCTTACCTCTCATTTTTTCCTTATCATCACATTAAAGCTCTTGTTACACACAACAAGGTTCAAGAACCTTCCACCAGGCCCGCCATTTCTTCCAATAATTGGAAACCTTCATCAACTCAAACAACCCCTCCACCATACTTTCCAAACCTTATCACAAAAACATGGCCAAATATTTTCTCTTTGGTTAGGTTCTCGTCTCGTCGTTGTTGTTTCTTCGTTAAAAACAACACAAGAATTTTTTACCAAACACGATATCATTTTAGCGAATCGACCTCATTTCTTATTCGGAAAATATATCAACTACAACTACACCACATTAATACAAGCATCATATGGTGACCATTGGCGCAATCTCTGCCGTATAATAACAACTGATGTACTCTCATCTAACCGTTTAAATTCCTTCTTGGAAATACGAAGGGACGAGATTATGAGACTTATACAAAAGCTAGCAAGAGTGTCATACCATGATTTTTTAGAGGTGGAACTTACGCCAATGTTTTCAGAATTGACATTCAACACGGTCATGAGAATGATGACAGGGAAACGATACTTTGGTGATGATTGTGATGTGAGTGATGTTGAGGAAGCAAGGTTGTTTAGAGAGATAATGAAAGAGATTACGAGTATAGGAGGAGCAACCAACGTTAGTGATTTTTTAGGGTTTTTAAGGTGGTTTGATTTTGATGGTTTGGAGAAGAGTCTTAAAAGGATAAGTAAGAGAGTAGATTCATTTTTACAAAGACTCATTGATGAACATAGATTTGGAAATAGGAACACTAATACTATGTTAGATCATCTCTTAAAACAGCAGCAGTCACAACCTGAATATTACACAGATCAAATCATCAAAGGACTTATTATGGTAAGTATTTACAATTATTTTTTTTGTGTAAGTAGTATTAATCACTATAAACTCACTCACGTAATCGTAATTATAATCGTCTAACCTAGGCCAATGAATATTTGTTAATGCTTTGTTAAAATTGAGTTATAAAGGCATAAAAGAAAACAAAAATATTTTCCTATATTTTGAAGTGATATTGACATTTTGTTTAATGTTTGTAGGTTATGCTTATTGCAGGAACTGATACATCAGCTATAACTTTAGAATGGGCTATGGCCAATTTATTAAATAATCCAAATATATTAAAGAAGGCAAAAGATGAGTTCGACACCCACATGGGACAAGACTACTTCATAGATGAACATGATATTTCAAAACTTTCTTATCTTCAAAATATTGTTTATGAGACTCTTCGATTACATCTAGCTGCTCCACTATTATTGCCTCATTTTTCTTCAGAAGATTTTACAATTGAAAAATATAATATCCCACAAAACACAATTTTAATGGTCAATGCATGGGCCATTCATAGAGATCCAAATTTGTGGACTGATCCTATATGTTTTAAGCCTGAGAGATTTGAGAAAGAAGGTGAGATAAATAAACTAATTTCATTTGGAATGGGAAGAAGGGCTTGTCCAGGAGAAAATTTGGCTCATCGCACAGTGAGTTTGACTTTAGGCTTATTGATTCAGTGTTTTGAGTGGAAACATATAGGTAAAGAAAAAATTGACATGGGCGAAAAAAAAGGAATTACTATGGGAAAAGAGATTTCCTTAAAAGCAATGTGCAAATTGCGTCATCCAATGATGATTAAAAATGCTTTCTAATTTATGAATATTTGCAATTTTTCAATAAGAGGTACATGATATAATCATCTCCAAATTACTTTTAAATATGTAATTCCAGAACAAAACTCAATGTGATTAAGGTTGTTTTTTAATTAATTAATGTTTTATTTTTGTCCAAAAGTATATAATTTTTTTATGTATTTAAATTATGCATTATAACAATTAAGTGATTACCATTCAAATTTATTTTATGTAATTTATTCTTATATTTTTATTCTTTTTTTTTCTTCAAATGGGTGAAATATCATTCTTTCATCTCTTTTTCTTTTTTTTAAACCATAATCCAATAAAACTAAAGAGGAATAAATGATAAGAACGAGGGGGACCAAACTAAAACTCTTTAAGATGAAAGTCTAAGTCTAAAAATACCCAATTTATCATACAATAAATTCTTAGATATCTCCTCATGAACATGAGAGAACAACAATTTCCTCTGTCATTTTTCATAACAATAAAAACATTAAATTATCATGACATTAAGATTTCACTCTATCATTTTTAAATTAAAAATAAAATAAAATGATAAATTAAATATTTCACATTCAACAAGTATGTATTTTGTGCATTTGTTCATTAACTTACTATCTAATCCCCCATTCCCTCAAAACTTCTTCACCCTCATCTATAACACCCTTGAACCTTGATACATGTCCATCTTCCACAAACACCGTCCTATTTATTTATAATGTCAACCAACGCCACCGACAAGAATGCAAAGCGAGATATGTGTTTTTACAGCAATGATAATTGTCTCTTTGAAATTATGTTTTTCAGGGGACATATGTTAGACACGATGTCTAAGACAATTTATCTAACTAGTTAAACCAGTTTTAGCACGGTATGACAACAACAATGATTAAAAGTAAAAACAATAAAGAACACCAAGGATTGTTAACCTAATTCACTGGGGGCTTTCAACCTAAGAAAGGAAATTCTCTATCAATAATATTAGTACATTTAATCTTACTTGAACACGCCTTGTTCAAAGTCTCCTCCTAATATTATCTAATGTATTTCTATTTAGAACTCTCCATAAATATGAGAACCCTCTCACTTTCTCCCAATCACTAACCCTAGTGATCAACTCAATAAACAAAAAAGAGTGTTGAATTATAACTCAATTAAAAAACTAAACTATATGCCTTAAGATATGAATGTAGGTGCTAGAGTGGTGTATAAGAAACACAAACAACATACTAAAATAAAATCCTAGCAAAATGATCTTTAATCCTTGCACACACCTCAAACGTTAGGTTTAAGTCTCCTTAAATATAAATGCAATCCAAGCTCTCCTATGGGCATACGTTGTGATATTGTCTAGATTAGTAGAGAATTTGGTTTTGATTTATTCCACAAAAGCCTCCAAAAAATATGATTTGTTTTTTATTCAAATTCAAATTTAAATATTCAATTAAATCTATTTTTATGTTAGTTCTTCTCATTCATGGCGTTGATATGATTTTAGAAGTTCGGTGGTTACAAACTTTACATCAATTTTTTTTAGTTCATATTGTGAATTTAATTGAATTTACTAATAATACAAAACCCTTACCAATATAAATTCAGTACCACTTACCCAAGATTCTATATCGCAATTTTGTTGATACTTATTCCTGATGCTATTATAACTCATTATTTGTGAGGATTCTAGTCTGTAATACTTGGGTTTAGTTCCTTATTAAGCAAGTTTATTAGGTCAATTTAAGTTTGTTTTGTTATTTTAATTAATTATGTGAAGAGCACGATAGTATCACGATGAAAAAAGTTAAGATTAAGTTATTGATTAACTTAACTCATAAATGACTAGAGTCGCCACCAAAATTTATTGTTTCCAAAGGAAAAGGAAAATACCGAGAAAACCCAATGCTAAAAAAGTAAAACAAAAGAAGAGATCAGAGTATAGGGGTTGGTTATGCAAGGGGAAGTTATTAGCATCCCTCACATATATGGTACTCCATAGAAGTCTCTTGAAAATATATGTTAGGTTAAAACCGGGTTATTTGCAAAATAAATTGGAGAGATGAGAAAAGAATGATTTTTTTAGTATTTTTTGTTTTCCAACACTTCAAGAGCCTTGTGCCTACGCATCCTCCATATTCCATGAAGAATAAAAACCTCGTAGTTCATGGTAAAAATAACATGGTGGTTTATTAATTGATTTCGAGTGGAAAACACAACATACTTTCATAAGTATGAGAAACTGAGCATTTCCATCATCTTGATATGGAGAACTTTACTTGTATTTTCTAAACAAGCATGTATCAACATTCAAGTGGAAAATTCCAGTCACTTCACAATCATCTGGTGAAAGTATATAGGTTTACATCACTGCAAGAACAAACTAATATCCAATCTTTGATAAAAGGTTTTAAAAGAAAAAGTGCACAAAGGCACAAAAAGAAAGTTTGATAAGGTTTATTTCTTTTTAAAGAATTTTTAAAGGGTTTGAGTATGCTTATATATTTTAGCATTTATTAAGAAAAATATTTTCGCGATCACTTGACAAATTCAAGGTTTATTATAAAAGGTTTGAAGTTTGAAAACAAGAAAGTTTTTAAAAAGAAAGAAGTTTTGAAAATTGAAGAAGTGGGTAGGAGATGAAGATACTATCCTAAAGCATAAAGTAAACATGAAGGAAATAAATGGTCTCATTATAAGGTAGTCTGAAAGGAAGCCTTTGTGTGTGAAAATGAACTAACCACAAGATGGAGCAAGCATTTGTCATATGTCAAAATGATAATTCATTTCCCTTTGGAGTAAGCCACAAGATAAGCAAGAAGATCTAGATGAAAACACAAAGAATCAGATGAGTCACATAACATCAGATAAAATACTAATGTATCAAGTGAATTCCCAAGGTTTCAGATAACACCCAACATCAAATGAAATATGAAACATCAGATGAAAACCAAGAGTATCAGATGAAAATCCAAAGTCTCAGATGAATGATCCAAATGAATTTTAGGGCATCGAATGAAAATCAAAGCAAAGGTACTATCCTAAGTTCAAAGTACAAACTCCTCAAGCAAGGGATAGTAAACAAAAGCCCAAGATTATGATCCATGTTTTTTAGGTTTTTTCCTTTATTAATGTCTCTTGATGAAAAGAAAAAAAAGTCCAAAGGGAAAAGGAAAAGGAATAAAATAAATGACATAAATATAAATGACATGAAATGTAAATGATTGAAATGTAAATGGCATAAAATTTAATGTTAGAGTTAATGTTAGTAAGATCACCTGATTCGGGATAATTTAATGCTATGTTAAGCAATAGTAAGTGTACTTATGTAGAAGTAGCACCTATAAGAGGCATGTATTGGCGAATATTAAGATGAAGGCTTATGCCTTGTTGATGCCTCTATTAATTGGCAATTTTTGAGATGGGAGTTATGCTCCAATGGTAACACATTCATTTGCATAGTATTGAGTCGCATTATATGATTGCATAAAGAAGTGTGTATTAATGTTGTGAATGTGTATTATCGTTGTGATTATTGTTGGTTATGAGATGAGAAGTGGTGATGTTATGTGATCTAATTTAATATATTAATTACCATGCACTTTATTATATTGTTAGATATCCCACCCCTTCTGTTTGATTGTTGCCCTTACGTTGGTAACGTGCAGGTAATCAAGAGTGAAGGTTGTATACCTTCAGTAGTTCGAGTCGATGTCATTGCTCTGATATGTAACACTCGGGGGATGAATGCTTGTCGCTTTTGGTTGTTGATTATTCAGTTGTTGAACTTTAAGTTAATTATTATTAAGTATGCATTGTTTTGAAGTTGTTGTAACGATGATAAAGATGTTATTAAGAATTCCGCTGCGTAGATGTTTAACTTGTTGAATTGTTTAATTAAAGTATTATGTTGACGGTTCATCCGAAGTTTTAAAGTGTTATATATCCATGAAGGATGCAATGAGTTAAGAATGATGAATTTGTGGCATCCTGATTCATTTTATGTGAATGATTTTATAACTCTGATTTATTTATATAATTGTCGGGTAGAATTGGGGTGTTACAAAGTTGGTATCAGAGTAAAAGGTTGGTCTGAACTTGTCGTCGAGTCGTAGTTGTCTACCAATAAGCATTGTTAATTTGAGTTCTAACTGTTGTTTATGTTGTAGTGATAAGTTGAGATGGCTGGAAGGAATGATGTTGCACTTGTTGTTGCTTTAGAAGCAATGGCTCATGCGATGGAGAATTAGTCGAATGCTGACGGGAATGCTGGATCTCGTAGTTTGGCGACTTTCCAGAGGGAGAATCCGCCTATGTTCAAGGGAAAGTATGATCCTGACACAGCGTTGGATTGGTTGAAAGAGATTGAGAGAATCTTCCATGTGATAGACTGCACTCCAGTGCAGTAGGTTCGATATGGTACTCATATGCTAGCAGTCGAGGCTGATGACTGGTGGCTAGAGACTTTTCAGAAGTTGGAAGCTGCAGGTGAGAATGTCACTTGGGCTGTATTCCGTAGGGAATTTCCGAGGAAGTACTTTCCTGAAGATGTCCGTGGTAATAAGGAAATTAAATTCCTTGAGCTAAAGCAATGGAGTATGTCAGTTGTTGAGTATGCTGCCAAGTTTGTTGAGTTGGCTAAGTTTTATCCGCACTACGCTGAGACAGATGCTGAATTTTCGAAGTGTATCAAGTTTGAGAACGCGTTGGGCCCGGAGATCAAGAAGGAAGTTGGATACCAAAAGATCCGTGTCTTTGCTGATTTGATTGATAGTTGTAGGATTTATGAGGAGGATAATAATGCTCATTACAAGATTATCAGTGAGAAGAGGGGTAAGCACCAACATAATCGTGGTAAGCCTTATGATGCCCCAGCTGGTAAAGGTAAACAGAAAGTTGCTCAGAGTCAGAGGACTTGTGGGGGAGATGCTCCTACTGGTGTGGTTTGTTTAAAGTGTGGAAAACCTGGACATAAGAGTAATGTGTGTACTACTGAAGTGAAGAGGTGTTTCTATTGTGGT